ACCCCCACCGGGAACTTAATCAAAAATAATATGCATTAGGTATGCATATATTTCTATTTACGGAATATAAATATATACATAAATATATTTATATATGCATAAATAAACATATAGGTACCTCTGTATAATAATTTTCCTGTCTTATAAATAAGTTGATGTGTCTAACTCTGCTATAATGTGCTAATCCAAAAATAAAATCTATATTTGTATAAAATAAATGATAGTGATTAAAATGTTTCTCATTCATTATTTTGACCTTAGGCTACAATATGTAAATAAACAATTTATTATTACTATAATAATAATAAAATAGATGGAAGAACTAATACGTGACGGCCGCTAAAGAAATGTTTTTTTTTTATAGGATAAGGGTGACAAACGAGCACACAGTCCACCTGATGGTAAGTGGTCGCTGTGGCCCATAGACATCTACATCTATCTTCGATTAAGAGTCAAAATGCACCCGTCTCTGCACAATGTCACCCGTGAGGACTAAGATGGAATGCCTCGTTTCCAGTAAAAAGGGTCTCCGGTTCTCTACACTCACCATACGAAACACAGCAGCGTTAAGCTGCTATTTTACGCTGGTATTCTGTGAGAGCGTGGTCCTTCCCCGGTCGAGCCGATCCATTCGTGCTACAACCATAATATAGATGCAGCATGGCTCTACCACGTATATGTAAAAAAGAGTGTAAATATGAGCCATCAAAAGTGTACTTCCAGTCTCGTATGCCTAAAGCACGTGGCTATCTGGGAACTAAGCAGCTCAAGGAGGTGCCGATTATGTTACTTGACGAAAAAAACTGCACGTCCTAACTGATTGCGTACCCTGAATGTGCAAACGTTACATACATGGGGAACTATGTACTTATCCCAGAAATGAAAATTGTTCACAGATAAGTAATTTCTTCAGTTCATTGAAGATATGGCTTAGCTGTGAACTATGGCCATAGCAGCAATCACATACAGATCTTGCTAGAACAGCTTATACGTGTTAGAGCCATGCTGTAGCTATATTAGTAGTATAGTTGTATCACGAATGGGTTGGCTCGACCGGGGAAGGACCACGCTCTCAGAATACCAGCGTAAAATGGCAGCTTGACACTGCCGTGTTTCGTATGGTGAGTGTAGAGAACCGGAGACCCATTTTACTGGAAAAGAGGCATTCCATCTTAGTCCTCACGGGTGACGACGCATCTGCAATTTGATTCGTAGGCGAGGATAGATGTAGATATCTATGGGCCACAGCAACCACTTACCATCAGGTGGACTATGTGCTCGTTTGTCACCCTATGCCATAAACATACCTGCTCTCACAAAGAATTACAACTAAATATAAAACAAGTGGTAAAATTCAAAATTTTGTACAACTGACTTCAATATAAATTATCAATAATAACTCAAAAACTACTGGTCAGACCTTGATCACACCCACATGAAACACCAGTATTCTAATAAAAAAAAAATCATCAAAATCGGTTCACCTAGAAAAAAGTTATGAGGTAAAAAAAATATAGTCGAATTTTGAGTACCTCCTCCTTTTTGAAGTCGGGTAAAAATTTAAATAGAAAAATACCAACGTTCGAAAATCGAGATCGGATACGTACAAAAGCAATTGCTATACTTTAAACCATATATAAATAAATATGTAGCAAACTAGGCTACTCTATTTCAGCGGATGATTGAATAAAGAAATTTTGTTTTCCGATGTGAAAATAATACCTAGTCAGGTCATAAATTCTGTCACATATTTAATGTAAAATAATTGAAACAATGTATGCGGCGGGACTTACGCAACTTCAATACAGCTCGTATTGAAGAAGCGATCGAGCGGAACCAAGGCTCCAGTCTTTTCCAGAGATCTGTCTGCCAGAAAGAGCCAACTGTCAATGCTGAAGACCGAATGTGGCAGCATCGTTTCCGGGGCACCTGAGATTTTGAGTGAGATTGATAGGTTCTATGGGCAGCTGTACACGTCATCGTTGGAGCCGCACGCAAGTGTGAGTAACGATCCAAGAGCGAGTCTTATCCGACATTATTCCGATGATATTCCGGACGTCAGTCTGAGCGAGATTAGAATGGCTCTCCAGCACCTTAAAAACGGCAAGGCCCCAGGCGAGGATGGAATTACAGCGGAGCTTCTGAAAGCGGGTGGAAAACCGGTACTTGAAGTCCTTCAGAAGCTCTTTAATTCCTTCCTCCATGGTGGCATTACACCGGAGGCGTGGAGCAGAAGTGCGGTGGTCTTGTTCTTCAAGAAAGGCGACAACGCTCTCTTGAAGAACTACAGACCGATTTCCCTTCTGAGCCGCGTCTACGTGCTGTTTTCGAGAGTCATTACGAATCGTCTCGCGCGCAGACTTGACGACTTCCAGCCTCCCGAACAAGCCGGTTTCCGAAAAGGCTTTAGCACCATAGACCACATACATACCCTTCGGCAAATTGTACAGAAGTCCGAGGAGTACAATTTGTCACTATGTCTGGCGTATGTGGACTATGATAAAGCCTTAGATTCCGTCGAAATTTGGGCGGTGCTGCAGTCCCTTCAGCGATGCCAAGTTGACTGTCGGTATATCGAAGTGTTGAAGTGCTTGTACAGTAGGGCTACGATGGCTATCCGAGTACAGAACCAGAGTACGAAACCTATCCAATTGCAGAGAGGTGTAAGACAGGGTGACGTCATATCCCCGAAACTCTTTACCGCTGCATTGGAAGATGTTTTCAAGCTTCTGGACTGGAAAGGATACGGCATCAACATCAATGGCGAGTACATCACTCATCTTCGATTTGCCGACGATATAGTCTTTATGGCAGAATCGCTGGAGGAAGAAGAATTGCTGGAAGAATTGCTCAATGACCTCAATAGTGTTTCCCAACGGATAGGTCTTAAGATGAACATGGACAAAACAAAAATCATGTTTAATGTCCATGTCACACCTCTGCCGGTAGTTGTTGGGAACACTAAGCTCGAAGTTGTTGACGAGTATGTTTACCTGGGACAAATACTCCGACTAGGTAAGTCCAACTTCGACCGAGAGGTCAATCGACGGATTCAACTCGGTTGGGCAGCGTTCGGGAAATTACGGCACATCTTCTCGTCAGGTATACCTCAAAACTTGAAAACGAGACTGTACACCCAGTGCGTGTTGCCAGTGATGACATACGGAACTGAGACGTGGTCCTTCACTGCTGGCCGGATGAGGAAGCTCAAGGTCGTTCAGCGAGCTATGGAGAGGGCTATGCTCGGAGTTTCTCTGCGCGATAAACTTAGAATTTAGGATATCCGCAGTAGAACCAGAGTGACCGACATAGCCCAACGGATTAGTAAGCTGAAGTGGCAATGGGCCGGCCATATAGCTCGAAGAACCGACAACCGATGGGGAAGAAAGGTTCTCGAGTGGCAGCCTCGTACCGGCAGGCGAAGTTTAGGGCGTCCCCCCACTAGATGGAGTGACGACCTGGTAAGATATGCAGGAAGTCGATGGATGCAGGTGGCTCAGGACCGTGCTTTGTGGCATTCTTTGGGGGAGGTCTATGTTCAGCAGTGGACTTGTGAAGGGCTGTAATGATGATGATGATGAATTGAAACAAGTTTATTCATTATGTAACCATTTATATACCAAAATGAACTTAACAAAACATAGATTCTTATGACACTAAAGTTTATTCAAAATGACCTCCGTGATTTTGAATACAGGCCTTCAATCTGCGCGGCCAGTCGTCTATCGCAGCACGAACGAGGTCCATGTCAATATCGGCGGCTGCCAAATTGGGATGAGGCTTTGAGCACGCCTTTTCCTCCAAGTGTTGCCATATCTTGTAATCTAACGGATTCAAATCTGGACTGGAGGAGGGCCAGTCTTCGTGCCGGATGAAATCGATTTCACGCGCCGCCAGCCAGTCTTGTGTGCTCTTCGCTCTATGAGCTGGCGCCGAATCTTGTTGGAATACCCAGTGCCTGTTATTGAACATGGTATGAGAAACTGGTTCCACAAGGTTCGTCAGGACTGTATTTTGATACACAACTGCATTCGTTTTTACACCTTTCTCACAAAGATGTACCTCTGTTAAGCCCCAATAAGAAACTCCCAACCATACCATGAGCGAGGATGGAAAATGACCTCGTTGGACACGCGGAATACGGTTGCTCGCTTCTTCACTACTGTATGCGTACACCTTATCATTTTGTTTATTGTAGCTCTCTTCTACGGTAAAAATTTTTTCATCCGAAAAAAGAATTTCCCGATATTTTTTTCCCGCGTACCGCTTCAACAAAGCGCGGCATCTCTTCAGTCTCAGGTCCATTAGACGAGCATTCAAACGATGTCCTGTTTTTCTTCGATATGCCCGAAGCCCTAAGTCTTCATTTAACACCCTTTTCACCGTGGTTCTGCTTAACCCCTTTTATCACTGCTGGAGTCCTAACAGACCGAGGGTGACCACTTCTTGACATGTCATCTACACTAGAGTCTTCATTGTATCGTTTGATGGTACGATAAACGAATCTTTTGGTTATATTCAAATTTTTCAGTATGTCAAAAATTTGAATTGGCGCGTAACCGCAACGATGCAACGCAATAACAGCAACACGGTCTTCTTTAAGCGTCCACTCCATATTTAAAAATGAGTAAAATTCTAAAAAGTATACAGTTTTATTTTCATGAACAATTCGAAATTCGAATTCAATAAACTTTTTTGTGGCCAGCATTCTTAAAGAAAAGTTTTTACTTTGTGACAATACTTATGACCTGACTAGGTAGTAATGTGAGATAATATAGTTCGAGGTGTGGGAACTTCACCGGATGCTTTTCATGTTCTCAGAGGCACGGTGTGAAACTCCGCTGATTTCTTGATTCCGGGCTACAGAATTTCTTGAGAGAAAAACCCAATAAGTGATTTTGGCCCGACTGGGGTTCAAACACAAAAAATAAGTAACTGATTGGGAGCAGCGTGCAGGGTATCCTAGTTCAGGAGTCAGACCATGAATGAATTATATATTAATATTTTAATAACATTTATTATCATGATTAAATAAATGATTACATTAACATTACTATTAAGATGATTAAATAATTAGAGTCGATTTAATTATTGATTACAGTAGATCAGTAGTATCAGTAAGGTAGGTTACATAAATTATGTATGTTCAACTGGTCGTTGAACATTATCGTTCAAGGATATTATGGAAGTAATTATGCTCGGACTTGTCGTGGACGTGGATTCCAAATTTGCTTCCATCTGTACTTGACCCGTTTTGTCATGAATGTCTTCTTTATTTGGGATCGGTTTTACAATCCGGCTGTCTTTTTCGGACACGATCGTGGTTTCCATAGCAACGGTGGGCACGTGTTCTTCTGGCTCCATTTGTGTCTGCTCGACAAAGTGTGGCACAATTACTTCAGGCTCCTCTTGCGAATTGTTTTCATCGTGAAACAACGAGTGGTGGACATCGGCTAATGGATTGAATACGATTTTCGTCGGCTCTGAAAACCCGTACAAAGGTGACGACAGGTTCCTGTTGGCGTCTTCGTCTGAAATGTTATTTACGTAAACATGTTAATTAGTATTTAAACATATCTCTAGTCACCTGGACATTATAATGGAATTTGTCAAACCGACATTTACGAGGGGTGATCCAAAAGTAATGATAATGAAAATAAAACACGGTAATTAAAGTTAAAATAATAATTTATTTTTCTACATAGTCTCCTAAACAAATCAATACATTTAGTCCATCTTTTTTCTAAACCCAGGATTCCCTTTGAAAAAAATTCTTTTTCTTGACCCTCCCAAAACGCTTCAACAGCGGCCATTACTTCGCTATCGTCTTCGAATTTCTTGCCTCGGAGGGGTTCCTTGAGCCGAGGAAAGAGGTAGAAATCACTAGGAGCTAGATCTGGCGTATAAGGAGGGTGTTTGAGCAGTTCGAATCCCGTTTCTTGAATGGCAGCCTTCGCAACTGCGGCTTTGTGAGCCGGTGCGTTGTCTTGGTGAAACAGCACTCCAGCTCGCAGTTTGCCGCGTCTTTTTTCCTTAATGGCCTCCCGTAATCTTCTTATTTGGTCTGCGTAGTAAGAGCCCGTAATAGTGGCTCCCTTTTCCAAATATTCCACCATAATTATGCCTTGAGCGTCCCAAAAACAGATGCCATAACCTTTCCCGCCGAACTTGAAACTTTGAATTTCTTTGGCGTCGGTGAGGAGGCTCGCTTCCAAGTCATCGATTGTTGTTTCGTTTCAGGATCAAAATGGTGGATCCAGGTCTCGTCCATAGTCACAAAACGGAACAAAAAATTTTCTTGAGCTGCTTGGAACTTTTCGAGATTGACCCTCGAAATGTCAACTCGATTTTTCTTTTGCTCGTCGGTTAACATTCTGGGTACCCAACGCGCAGGGACCTTTTTCATATGCAACTCGTTCGCAAGGATTCTTTGAACGCTGCCATATGAGATCCCTGTGACCTCAGCTACATGCCTGATGGTCACTCTTCGATCTGCCAACACAACATCTTCGACTTTTTTCACGTTGTCTTCAGTGAGGGACGTGGATGGGCGTCCTTCGCGATGTTCATCTTCAGTGGATGTTCTGCCCAGTTTAAACTCCTTAGCCCAGCGTGCAACTGTAGAATATGGAAGAGCAGAGTCCCCCAATGTTTCCACTAAGTCACTGTGTATGTCTTTTGAAGACATTTTTTTCAAACAGAGGTACTTGATGACTTGATAATTTCGTTTTTCTCCATGTTGATGTTATCTCTTTGACAGTTCGTATTCAAATGAATGTATCTCCCGGAAATCGTGATCTATTTATATGATTTTTTTAGGCTGACGTAGTGAGTATATAAGCAACCAAAAAATATATTTTATTTTTATTTTTATGTGGACCTGAAGTAACCGATTATCATTACTTTTGGATCACCCTGGTATGTATGCATGTATATAATTTGTATGTGTACATATGTATGTACTAGTGTATTGTATATACTGTTAATATTTACATATTTTTAATATTTATTTACAGCACCTGTCACTATTTTCACCACACCATGAATTGACGGGTAGAAAATACCAATTGGCATTAAGTCCGCCCTTAAACTTTAACTGCCGAAGTTGTTTACTGAAAATTTAAGTGCTGATTTATCATGTGCTCTGCGGAGGAAAAAATCGCGAGGAAACCTGCACGATTGAAGAGTACTTGGAACTTCGAGGACGTGTAAAGTCCACTAACATGCATTGTGACCTCTTGAGTCCTCCTCATCCTCCTCTATCTCGGTATCCTCTCAAAAATCTGGTCTGTGGAACGTATACAGCCTGTAACTTTACAATTAAGTAAGTGGCTGTTTAAAATTATTCATTTAACAAAGAAAGCGTAAATTATTGATCCGAAGCAATTAACAATGACAGGTTACCTGATTGCAATATCGGGGACAAAGATCCCGTGATAAACTCTGATGAAGAATCTTCCAGGTTTTGTAGTTCAACAGTTTCCATATTTTGGAAGGTGCTATTATCTAGGGTACCCTGCATAATTAAAGACGGTTTTTTGTGGATATCTGTAAGAAGGATTAAATAATTATTAGATTTATTTCAAAACAACAAATGAAATTTTATTTAACAAATGAAATATCGCCTGAATTACTTTAAATGTGAAATCGAAAGCAAGTACTATTTTTTGCCAACTCGTCTGCCAATAAGCGTGACAACTATGTTAAATATCCCCCCTATGAGGTAATCTATGGGGGAGGCCTATGTTCAGCAGTGGACTTTAATTGGATGTAATGTCCTCCAGACCGAATTTCAGTCACGGCGGCCAGTCTCAACGGAGACTAGCCATCGGCGCAGGACAGGATTATAGTGCCCAAGTGTATGCGCAAGCCCAGGTATACTCTATTCCTTCACTCCTATAGCCCGATGGAACGGTAATCCGACACGACCGTAGAGAGATTAACCAGAGGACCAACTGCTTCACGTGCTTTCCGAGGCACGGAGTGAATCACCGCCAACTTCCTGACTCCGGGTTGCTACTGAGCATTTGTTGACAGAAAAACCCAATAATTAATTTTAGCCCGACCCGGAATTCGAACCCGGGACCGGGACCTCGTGATCGGCGATCGCGTTTATGACCAATAAAGCAGTCAAGGAAGTAATCGATTAATGATTGAATGAATTATTTCTTGTAATTACGAAAGTGTTTGTAACAATGGTACATTTAAAATTAAAAGATTAATACACATTTAAATGCTCTTTTTATTTTTTTATACTGATCAATTTCGCAAAAACACAGCAGCTACACCTTTCGTGACAAATTCTTCTTTATGATATGAAACTATGGTAGGAGAAGTATTTTTTACAAAAGAAATTTCTTAGCCGCGGCGCCAAAATCTTCGCAAAATTTGACATTTGCTATCAAACTCCTTACTCTATTTCAGTTCGCATATTTTCCGCGGGACTTATTGAACCAGACACTAAATTAAACCTGAGATATACTACGATAGACTACTTTGTGTGATATAATTTAAAAATAAAAATTTTGTACAACCGACTTCCATAATATAAATTATTAAGAATAACTCAAAAACTATTGGTCAAACCTTGATCAAATTTATATGGGACCACATGAGAAGTACCAGCTTTCAAATAAAAAAAAGAATCATCGAAATCGGTCACCCAAAAAAAAAAAACGTTAAATGAAGCTCCCTCGCCGACGGTGATCGAAGAGCGTTTAAAAGTCAAAAGCGACCACTACCAAGTATACCTAGTATATAGTTGTTACCTAGTTTATCAAGTGGCGCTCACGGCGTTCTGTGTTCTGTGCGCGTATAAAAGCGTCAAGTATTACGTCTTCTTGGCATATCTCTATCCCTTGTTTTGATCATGTCTTAATACCAAGTGTACTAGTACTTAATACTCAGTGGCATACCTTTTTTCCGATTGTAATAGTTCTTTGGGGGCCTTCCACGTGTCCTTTGTATTTGCAGCTGCTGTTCCGCCAGAGTGAGCTGAGGCTTGAAAACGGGTCTTGGTCTCGACACATCTCTCTTGGGCTTGAAGTTCTTCTTATCTGAGGAATGAGAAGTGTAAGAGTGTCATAAAAGAGATTGACTTATAAAATGACAATTGTTATCACCAACGCTGTTTCTTTTGCATATCAATGATATGTTGCAACTTGCAAGCTGGTAACATTCATTGCTATGCAGATAACAGCACTGGTGATGCTTTATACACCGGCCGTGCCAATATTTCTCGGGAAAACGTCGCCAAGTACCGGGACAAACTTGTGTCTGCAGTCAAGTCTTTGCTAAACAAAGTCTCGGATTGGGGTTGACTAAATCTAGTCCAGTTCGAATCCCAGAAGACACAAGTTTGCGCGTTTACCGCTAAAAATAACCCCTTTATCGTACCTCCTCAGTTTCAAGGCACTCCCCTTGCTGCCTCAACAAGCATCGCAATCCTCGGCGTCGACAAATCGAATAGTGTGCAGTTTCGTGGTCACTTGGAAGGGAAGGCCAAATTGGCCTCTAAAAAGCTTGGCGTGCTCAGCAGAGCCAGACAGTATTTCATGTCAGCACATCGTTTGCAACTTTACAAAGCGTAAGTTCGGCCTACCATGGAATACTGTTCTCATCTCTAGGCCGGGGCACCCCAGTGCCAGCTCCTTCCACTAGACCGCATCCAGCCCAGAGCGGTTCGAATCGTCGACGACCGAGTTCTTTTTGATTTGCTTGATAAACTGGTGCTGCGTAGGGATGTTGCATCCCTTTGCATTTTTTATCGAATCAACCACGGGGAGTGCTTTGAGGAATGGTTTGGACTAATTCCATCCGCACAATTTCATTGTCGATTGTACATCGCGACAAAACTCGCGATACTATCCTTACCATCTGGATGACTGGCGGTCCACCACTGTTGTGGAATCGACTAACCCCAGAGATTTTTTCGGACTGATACGACTTAGGGACCTTCAAGAAAAGAGTGTACTCCTTTTCAAAAGACCGGCAACGCATCTGCAATTTCCCTGGTGTTACGGTTATTTATGGGCGGCGGTAATCACTTTACCATCAGGTGAGCGGCATGCTCCTTTGCCCCCTCTACTATAAAAAGACATGCAGGAAGTCGATGGATGCAGGTGGATCAGGACTATGCTTAACGGCATTCCTTGGGGGAGGCCTATGTTCGTCAGTGGACTTGTAAAGGCATTTAATGATGATGATGATTTAAATTTTGTAGGTTTGTGGATAAATATTACGACACGATCGCTGTATATCAACAAACGTTGTCATAAGGCTTATAAGCGCGATTCAGCTCGTCCTATAATATCCTTTTAAAAATAAGTATAATTCCGCCATTTCAAAAATCCATTTTGAAATTTTTACCTTTTACTTTTCACTATTTATTCTTCGTAATCTATTATTAGTAACCATGCACTGCTACCTTACCCGAAATGAGAGGGTACAGGCTGTAACTCACTACTAATAGTAAATTATGAAAAATATTAAATTATATAAATATGCGACTCACCGAGATTCTTCTCGCGCATGAAATTCGACATCCTCTTCCGCGGGCGGCCGCGTCCCCGTTTCGGCGCGTCGGGGGCGCGCGGGGCCGGCGCCACCGCGTCGCTAACATCACAGTTGCTCTTCTTCACCTTGATTGTCGCTGGCTCGTTCCTTTTGCCCTGGATCATAACAAAAAGTGTTACTGTTAAAAATCAAATTACAGTGAGGGCTATCTATATTACGCTCACCTGATGTCACTATTTGACATCGAGGTAAAGGTTTTTATTCGAAATATCATTTAATTGAAAAATTAGTTTTAAATAATAGTTATTCAGTTTCTATGTAGAGTATTTGGGGCCACAGCAGTGCCCCCGCCAAGTCGAGCAAAAAAGCGACACGGCCGTACCATCCTTTTCTCAAAGCAATTTAGACCATTTTTAACCCCCCCCCCCCCCCCCCATAACTTCGTTGTAAATTAAACTAGAAACCTGAACTTTTAGCAACCAAGCATGCATTGTATGAACACGGTATATTTCAAATTTCATTCAATATGAAGTTGTAGTTTATGAATTATAACTAGTCAAAGTTTCTTAATTTTGTCACTCACTGACTGACCGATCATCAAAACTCTAAGGTACTTCTAGCAGATGTAGAAGCTTCAAATTTACAATACAATTAGTGTTTAGTGTATAAATTAAGAAAAAATTAAAATATTTTGTAATTTAGGTCTAGTTTTCTAGATACACCAACTACATAAATAATTTTGTAATCCTATATAAATATATAGGACTACAAAGTTACATTTGCAGTGAATGAATCAGAGTACCTGTATATGTATAATATAATGGAATAATAGATGTATGTGGTACCCAGATATAATTATGTTCAAAGGTAACTTGTAAACTGGTCAACGGTATGAAAAAGCACGAATGGGACATGTCTTAAGAAGTTGTACCAAAATCCCGCAGAGTATTAAGTAGACTAAATTGCCCGAAAATTCGTAGTTGGTATTCAAGTAGTAGATGATACCTGAAAGGAAAACAAGTAGGTCTATCTACAAAAAGAAATGAGATGCCATCAAAAACATAACTTGTAAAAAAAACCAAGTCTCGCAACTCAGTTCTTCTACCTTAAAATGTTGTGAGATCCATGTAAATAAAGGTTAATCTTTCTTTCTGTATTATTAGTTATATTTATATTAATGGGATTAAAAATGAATAAACCTAAACACAGATATTTATAAAAGTAGAAAAATAAAAAAAGAGTTAAAATGTGCCTAAAATTAAAAAGCAAACCACTGAGGCATTGATTGTTTTGCGTAATAACATAATGCCATCAAAATCATAACTTATAAAAAAAACCAAGTCTCGCAACTCAGTTCTTCTACCGTAAAAAGTTGTGAGATCCATGTAATACCAAGTCGGTTAATTTATTCAGTCCCTACTTAAGGGGCCTTCTGTCTCAAATTATTATGTAATTAGCTAGCCTAACAACATCTTATAGTGACCATATAAATATTAAATTTTTTTTATGTTTTAAATAAATAGATTAACTTGGCCATCGCATGAAAACATAATGTATCTCACAAGTAATACATATTTTATTAAATTAGATTGTTTAGTGCGATTGCCAAGTCAATCTATATATTTAAAACGGAAAGATGGGTAATGTACCGATTTAATGGACAACGTTTCTTTTACACCAGTAAATATTTTTTTATGTGATAGAACTAAAAAATTAGTAAAACTATTTTTTTACGTATTTTATCGCGCTTAATTTAATATTTTAATTCCCGACGTTTCGGGCGCTTTACAGCAACTGACGTGAAGCACCGACGCTCTGGGAAGTCTGCAGTCTGTGAACATGTTCAAGATCGTCCCCGCCATTACACTAGATTTGATAGATCACAAATCCTCGCAAAAGAACAACGATTCCTACCAAGGATGGTACGCGAGGCTAATGAAATTAAAAAAACATCCTAATTTCAATAGAGAAGATGGCTGGGTGCTGCCATCTGCTTGGGATCCTATAATTAACAAAATTAAATCCAAACCCAAGCATACTTCTGCAAGACTTCAAGATACTGTAAGTTCATTCTGCGTAAATCGAACCAAAAATTAATATTAAAAAACTGAAGGTAGCCGGGCTAACTGTGACATCGGGACGTCAAACATCTCAGTCTCCCCCGTGACCATGGGTTGCTGTAAAGCACCCGAGACGTCGGGAAATAAATTATCAAATTAAACGCGATAAAATCCATCAAAAAATACGAGTAGTTTTATTCATTGTGTAATATTCGCGTAAATATAAGAAATCATTATAAAAATTAGTTTTTGGATTTTGTCCTATATTTATGAGGGGTGTATATCAGGAAAATGCCTAATAGGTTTGATGAGTGAGTTTGCAAGTAAAATATGCGTGACTAAGGCCGTATTTTTTGATTTCACTGACTCAGAAAGTTGAATTTTTTACACGTCCAAGAGACGGTAGACCTTAGTATTACATATTAATTTTAACTTGATATCTCTAACCGCTTTTGAGAAAAAGGGTCTTGACATACGGACAAAAAAATGATCCCATATGGGGTTCTGTTTTTTCTTTTTGAGCTACGGAACCCGAATAAGCGTGTGTACGTACTCGTTTGCAGATTCTGCTGTGCTTGAGCGCGTCATTGGAGAGCGCAGATTTATGTCCACAGCTGCCGCATGTAAACATTAGACGTTCTTCAGTGTTCGTATGCTGGCGGCGAAACAGGTGCGACGAACGTTGGAACCTGTAGTACAAGCATTATCATTAAATTACGTGTCACATTGTTTGTCCGCGATGAACTCCTAAACTATTGAACTGATTTCAATGAAATTTTGCACACTGTGTTCAGTTTGTTCCAACTTGAGAGATAGGATACTTTTTATCCCGATAAGTGACCGAAAATATTTTTAAATTGCGAATGTAAGGATTTTTTATGGGAAGGGTCGTCGGAAAGGGCAGAACAACGTCTGCCTAGCCAGCTAGTATATATATATATATATATATATATATATATATATATATATATATATATATATATATATATATATATATATATCTACACTTTATCTTATATCACACTATTTCTCACCCTGTCAATCAAATTCAGCCCTAGCATACTCCTTAATGACCGCATTTCTACAGCATTTATTCTAGTCTCATGCTTTTTCTGCCAGACCCAACTTTCACTACCATACATTAAAGTAGGGACTAAGTCTATATCTCCCTACACTAACCGTACGAATCACGGCAATATTATGCTCAAATTTCACTGCGTCGTTGATCTAGTAATTGTAAGCGTGATTGCTGGTTGAAGTCCTGGGTACGAATCCCGGAAGAAATTCTCAGTAGCAGCTCGGAGTCAGAAATGTATCAGTGTTTCACCCCCGTTCTTTGGAAAACACATACGCTGTTAGTCCATCGTCTGTCCTCTCTCCGGGTCAGACCTGCACGTGGTACACCTGCCAACTAACGAATGAGGCTCCAACGATCGGCTAATGGCGGAAAATGCATCAAAAATAGCATCTAGGTCCCATTGACTTATATCTAAGGAGCAGTCACCAGTGCGAGACTCGATTCTACTGTCGTTTAACCTACTGATAGTATGAAGTGATAAGTATCAAGAAAGATTTTTTATGTGATAAAGAAAATGCAAAATGGAAGGACTCGTTTCATTTCTAGCAGTTCGTCTGGGTAGTGAACATTCTATTATCTATTTATGACGTCAGCAGTAGTGCTTGCTTTGCTGTAGTAGTCTAGTATTACTACAGGCTGTGAGACATTCCATCTTCGTACTCAAAGGTGGAAGGTTCGGTTACAACATGCGGTATTTATCTACGAGTATTTACTTGAATTCAAAGGATATTATTCTTTAGGACTTGAATCGTGGCATTTTTATCATAATTTTTATACAATGGTAGGTACGTATAATGAAGTTACAGAAATATATTGATGTGTCATCACTTTTTTTTTTCTTTAAGGATGGTTATTCATAAATTTTAGCAGCCTGTATATAATATATGTAAGTGAGATAATTATATATAATAATTCAATCCTTTAAGCATTCTGGAACTGTATAATATATGCCGTAATGCCAGTCGCATTGTCAATTTTTTTTAGTCTGCTGCCGGACATAGGCCATACAAAAATTTACCACCACGCGTGCGTTTCTATAATAAGTAGATAAAAAAATGAGATTTAATGTTATTGCTGGGACGAATATTAGTCACAAGTTTGCCATTCAAGAATATTTCTTTATAATAACTCTATAATTCAATTTATGCGATTATTGCTATCGCTTCAGCTTTATTTCAGTATTACCACAGAATAAATAAAGTACAAGAAGTATTACTTCCGATCTCTGATGACGGTAGCGAGCGAACGTCCATCTTGTGTATCGCTGGCAGCAGAATCGGAGCCGGAGTCTGGTCCTTCATCATTTTTCTTTCCTGGCTCGCTGACTTTTTCTGGAGAATCTAAAATAAGATATTATCATAAATTAATCTATATTATACAGGGTTATTTTTCAAAGAGTAGCCAAATTTTAAACTTAAGTATATAAATATATAGCTATAAAATGTATGAACTCAAATATATAAATAATGATATACCGTTATTGCAGTTTTCGAAAAAACGGATAAATAAGGCTTCTACTTTTATTTAAAATTATTCCAATTTGAATGTGATTTATGGGCAACAACGTTTTTGCGTACCGATCGACCCTTACGAATGTGTGCGTGCACAGTATAATCAGAAATCATAATATTAGGCTTTTTTTTATTTTTTTAATCATTTGCATAATATATTACTTATTCTGAACCTTCTCTGCAAATTTGTCCAGTTATTACAATATATTCGAATAAATATTCTGTAGGTACTATTAGAAAAATTATGTTGTGTACTTACTTATTTAAACAATAAGTTTAGCTGTAATGTTTTAAATAGGAGTCAGAATGACGATAGATACGTTTTTTTGGGCACGACATTGTATCTAGTAAAGGGGCCATCTCTATCATCATAATGCTCATATTCGTAATGTCAACTAAATACTGCCTCACTGCACTAACATAACTGCAGTACTTCGTCACAAACTGGACAATTATTATTGATAAGCAATTTTTAAGTTGTAACAGGTGTTTTTTATTTTTAATTAAAATAATTCCCATTGAGTAATAAGATTTCCTTATTGCAACATGTGCAAAATTATATATTTATCATATAAATAATTACATAAAATTTATTTCCGGCACCACCAATGCCCGAGTTGCAAGAAATTTATCTATTGCTGACGTGTTGTGCCCGAACGACAGAGCTAAGCAACCGAGACCGAGAGGAACAAGATGCAACTCGCACTGAAAATACTAGTACTTATAAAACTTTAAGAAATTACTCCGTATTGATTATGAAAAAGAAAACAAGTCACAACATTGGCGTGGCAGATATATTTTATCTTAAAAAAAATTTGCTCATGTAGCCAATCAAGGAAGAAAATGAAAGAAAACGGTTGTAAGGACTAAACGCACCAGATATCCTTTTTTTATAGGATAAGGGTGACAAACGAGCACACAGTCCACCTGATGGTAAGTGGTTGCTGTGGTCTATAGACATCTATCTTGTATTACGAATCAAAATGCAGATGCGTTGTCACCCGTGAGGACTAAGATGGAATGCCTTGTTTCCAGTAAAAAGGGTCTCCGGTTCTCTACTCTCACTATACGAAACACAGCAGCGTTAAGCTGCTATTTTACGCTGGTTGTGTATTCTGTGAGAGCGTGGTTCTTCCCCGGTCGAGCCGACCCATTCGTGCTACAACTACAACATAATATAGCTGCAGCATGGCTCTACCACGTATAAAATCCTCCTCATACTCAAAGAAGTATCTATGATATTTGTTTTAATGATTAATATAAGATGTTAATAAACTCACTACCAGCGTCGTCATTGTTGGTTTTCACTTTTCGTAAAACGATTAACTTTACGACCTTTGGGCCACTCTGCTTCGCTTCTTCTACGTTCTTTGGCTCCTCGTTGGAAGGATCTGAAAAAGTAAAAATTTCTTAAAATTTAAAGAATATTTTTAAGCTTGGTAATGTTAAACGTCTTATACACGGTCCATCTTGACGTACGTCCCGCCAAGGTCATCCCGCACGGTGCAAAACGACAATGTGTAGGCATTGACGTACAGCAATTTAACGTAAGTCATGTAAGTACTATACATACATATAGAGGGGCGTAGCTACCGCCGTATCAGCCGTATAAATGATACGGGCCTCCCGGGACTTCTATGGGACACGATGTTGGTTTGAATTGTTTGCCTAGCTTAGTTCCTAGGAGTATTAATTGTAAGTAATAACTTATAATCAATATATAATTATTTTAATTCAATGCGAGAGTTTTTGTTCCTTTTGTGAAAAATCTTTATCTTTAGGGCCCCCCGACAAATTTTGATACAGAGACCCCGGAACCCTCTAACGCACGCTACTCCACTGCATATATACAAATATATAAATACATTCATATACATACAAATAATACATATTAAATGGATGAATCATATAAAATGCGGATAGATACGAGTACGGATCCACTTTTAAAAAGAGTACTTTTTACCTTTACGTTTTATCTACGCGTAGAAGTTTTTTGGACCAACATACAAAAAATACTTTAAAAAAATGGAGTGTAGTACCAATGCTACGTAATTTTTTTTAAACTGCAGGAGAGGTAATTTTAATTAATTCAGATAGCAAATTAATTTTAATAAAGTGCTCCATAAAAACTGGAGCCGGTTTTGAGTTGATATTTCAGTGCAATGCTTAAATTCACAGGATGATTGATGATTTGGGTATTTTTCTAGCCTTTGATTCTTCGGTTGTGTCACCATTACACAATATTTAAAGAATCATGCGTTACTTTGCGCAAATTCATTATATTAAAGATATTGTTGCGCGCCACTATTAATGTCTTGTACATGGCAACACTAGTTACACTAGCGCCCTCTAGTGTCGAGTAAAAGAAAGTGTTGCGCGCCACTATTAATGTCTTGTACATGGCAACACTAGTTACACTAGCGCCCTCTAGTGTCGAGTAGCAGAACTAGGAGAGTCGAGATCCTTCCAGAAATTTCGGGACCGATATGTGCTCGAACATTCTAGATGTCGCTACAGTGGAAGGTTCTGGAAACTGTCTGAGGCCCTATATAAAGCCGGTATAGACCACGACCAGGGCAGTATTGAATTGGCGATACAAGAGAATACTTCGAAGCGAAACAACTGCGAACTTAAGTGATCAGTAGAATTATTGTGTTTTATTATTAGTGTGTTTTAAGGTGTAATTAGTATCCGTAATTAAAGTGTCAAATTTGGTAATTCAATCGGCAGTTTTTAATTGTCTCGAACCTCAAGCTCGTAACAATATTATAAATAAATGAGCTAAGATGAAAAGATCAGGAAGCTAAGTGGCCACTGAGTCGAGCGGCTCTTTAATTTTTTGCACATTTTTAACTTTTTTTAATTTTTCTACTTTTACGAATATCTGTGGTTTAGATTATTTATTTTTAATCGTATTAATATAAAATATAGATAATAGTACAGAAAGAAACAGTAACTTTTACATTTTTTCGAACAAATTAACTTCCCCACCATGACATCTGTCAAATATTATACCTCACTTTTAAGTGGCGCCGCCCTGGTGGCAGAAAAAGTCGTGGAAGCCCTCATTAAGAGGAGGAACTAGAAGTGCTCTTCAAATTAGGTAATATACATTATTTTTATTTTATTTTTACACGGATGTTAGCTAATTAAATTTTAATATTCTATACAAATAAATAAAATTGAAGTGTCTGTTCGTAGTGTCAAATTAACAGCTGTTTACTAAATTCATATAAAAGTATATACGGTACTTTTAACAAAAACACAATTTTTAACATTTTGTCTGTCTGTCTGTCTGTTTGTTCCGGCTAATCTCCGAAATGGCTGGACCGATTTTGACGGGACTTTCACTGATGTTATAAGGAGTAACTTAGGCTACTTTTATTTTTTTTAAATAATGAGGCTTCCGCGCATAATAATTAAAGCCCTAAAATTATGTATATTTATATCCTCATCATTACAGCCCTGCACAAGTCCACTGCTGAATATAGGCCTCCCCCAAGGAATGCCACAAAGCACGGTCTTGAGCCACCTGCTTCTATCGACTTCCTGCATGTTTTACCAGGTCGTCACTCCATCTAGGCCCTACACTTCGGCTGCCGGTACGAGGCCGGCACTCGAGAACCTTTTTTCCCTATTGGTTGTCGGTACTTCGAACCTTACACCTTACCCTTGGGCTATGTCTTCTAAGTTTATCACGCAGAGAAACTCCGAGCATAGCCCTCTCTATAGCTCGCTGAGCGACCTTGAGCTTCCTCATCCGGCCAGCAGTGAAGGAACACGCCTCAGTTCCATAGGCCATCACTGGCACTGGCAACATGCACTGGTCATTTTCAAGTTTTGAGGTATACCTGAGGAGTAGATGTGCCGTAATTTCCCGAACTCTGCCCAGCCGAGTTGAATCCGTCGATTGACCTCTCTCGGTCGTAGTTGGACTTACCTAATCCGACTATTTGTCCCAGGTAAACATACTCGTCAACAATTTCGAGCTTAGTGCTCCCAACAACTTCCGGCATAGGTGTGACATGGACGTTATACATGATCTTTGTTTTGTCCATGTTCATCTTAAGACCTATCCGTTGGGAGGCACTATTGAGGTCATTGAGCATAGTGCTTATGTCCTCCGGCGATTCTGCCATAAGGAGTTTATCGTCGGCAAATCGGAGGTGAGTGAAGTACTCGCCATTGATGTTAATACCGTATCCTTTCCAGTCCAGAAGCTTGAAAACGTCTTCCAATGCAGCAGTGAAGAGTTTCGGGGATATAACGTCACCCTGTCTTACACCTCTCTGCAGTTGAATAGGTTTCGTACTCTGGTTCTGGACTCGGATAGCCATCGTAGCCCTACTGCACAAACACTTCAGCACTTCAATATACCGACAATAAACTTGATACCGCTGAAGCGACTGCAGCATCGCTCCTAATTTCGACGGAATCAAAGGCTTTCTCATAGTCCACATACGCCAGACATAGTGGCAAATTGTACTCCTCGGACTTCTGTTTAATTTGCCGAAGGGTATGTATGTGGTCTATGGTGCTAAAGCCTTTTCGGAAACCGGCTTGTTTGGGAGGCTGGATGTCGTCGAGTCTGCATGCCAAACGATTTGTAATGTCTTTCGAAAACAGCACGTATACGCGGCTCAGAAGAGAAATCGGTCTGTAGTTCTTCAAGAGAGCGTTGTCGCTTTTTTTGAAGAGCAAGACCACCGCACTTCTGCTCCACGCCTCCGGCGTAGTGCCATCATTGAAGACGGAATTAAAGAGCTTCTGAAAGACTTCAAGTACCGGTTTTTCCCCCATTTTCAGAAGCTCCACTGTAATTCCATCCTCGCCTGGGGCCTTGCTGTTTTTAAGGTGCTGGAGAGCTATTCTAATCTCGCTCAGACTGACGTCAAGAATATCATCGGAATAGTGTCGGATAAGACTTGCTCTTGGATAACGATTACGACTAAGTACGAGTAACGACTCATACTTGCTTGTGGCTCCAATGATGATGTGTACAGCTGCCCATAGAACCTCTCAATCTCACTCAAAATCTCAGGTTTCTCGGAAATGACACTGCCACACTCGGTCTTCAGCTTCGACAGTTGGCTCTTTCTGGCAGACAGATCTCTAACAAAGACTTTGGAGCCCTGGTTCCGTGCGATCGCTTCTTCAATACGAGCAGTATTAAAGTTGCGTAAGTCCCGCCGCATGCATTTGGAGATCTGTCTGTTCAGTTGCCTGTATGCTGTCTAATCTACTGAAGACTGCAGCTTCATTTTCCGTCTAAAAGCCATGAGATTAAGAGTGTGATCGTAGAGTTTTTGTGTTCTTCTGCGGCGGGTCATGCAAAACTTAGCTCCGACCGCATGGACAGTTTCCACGAGCTTGTCCTTCATATCGTCCATTGCATTGCAATCTTCTAGGCATTGAAAACTATTTTGTAGCCCGAGCTGAAAGGTTTCTTCTGACTTCATTAGACGTGACCTCTCCAACTTAACTTTTAGGTTCAGTCTGCATCTCACCATGCGGTGATCTCTGTCGGTTTTCATTTTCACCCTCGCGATCACTGAGACATCACTGAACAGTGTCGTCTGGTTGTCATAATGAAGTCAATCTCAGTTTTTTTCGAACCGTCGGGACTCGACCAAGTCCACTTCCTGTAACGCCGCTTCTGGAAGAAAGAGTTCATCATTAAGAGTCCCTATACAAGGTATCATACGTGGTAGAGCCATGCTGCAGCTATATTTCTGGTGTAATTGTAACATGAATGGGTCGGCTCGACCGGGGAAGGACCACGCTCTCACAGAATACCAGTATAAAATAGCAGCTTAATGCTGCTGTGTTTCGTATGGTGAGTGTAGAGAACCGGAGACCTTTTTTACTGGAAACGAGGCATTGCATCTTAGTCCTCAGGGGTGCCAACGCATCTACATTTTGATACGTAACCGAAGATAGATGTAGATGTCTATGGGCCACAGCAACCACTTACCATCAGGTGGACTGTGTGCTCGTTTGTCACCCTTATCCTATAAAATAAAATACAAATAAACAAAACTGAAGTGTCTGTTTGTAATGTCAAAATTACAATGTTTTACTAAATGCATAGGAGATGGCAGATAGCTGATGTCATAAGGAGTAACTTAGGCTACTTTTATTTTAGAAAAATAATTAAGGTTCTTCGCAAAAAAAAACACCAAATTACACGCGGGCGAAGTCGCGGGGAACAGCTAGTTCTCACAGAATACCGACTTTAAATAGTGGCTCTCCCACGTATGCAGCTATTTCACGCATATTTTGTGCGAGTTTGGTCCGTCACTAGTCGAGCCGATCTATTTAGAATAGCACTTAACGAATTTTAAAAAATTATACTGCAGCCATTGCCTCATTTAGAGTTCCGGCGACCCTGGGCTCACTATGAATATGGGGAGGGAGGGGGGGGGGAGGGTACCCACTTCTGCCTGTGTCTGCCCAACCCACGACAAATTTACTGGATTTTTATATTTTACTAGCTTTCCACCCCGCGGTTTCGCCCATGAATAACTGCAACACCAGGGAAATTGCAGGTGCGTTGTTGGCCTTTTTAAAAGAATTAAGCTCGTTTCTTGAAGGTCTCTAAGTGGTATAGGTCCGGAAAAATCGTCGGTGGTAGATGATTCTATAAAGAAGTTTAGCGAGGAAGAAAACTCCTAGTAAATAGCACAGTTATGGTGTACCGTGAGTTTTGTCCCGACGTGCGTTGTGACTATCTATCTAAGACTATATAAAGTAAAGAATCGACTGTTAGGCGGTACGAAGTTCGCCGGGTCAGCTAGTTATTAATATTTCCGAAATATTGTATTTACCATTAAAGAGATTAACGGAGTATAATATATATATATATATATATATATATATATATATATATATATATATATATATATATATATAATATCTAAGATCTTGGACTCTACTACTTCCGCTCATCTATGAGTCAGGTAAATTAGAAGATTAGAATTTAGAACTAGAATTAGCTGATTAGTGGCCGCCAATACGGTGGTTCTCAAAATACATTATAAGATGGCAGATTATAATGGAAAACAAGGAGGCGATGGTGATAAGTCTGTAGTTGGACGGGTCTGATCGGTCGCCTTTTTAAGGATCGGGTGTTGTACTAAAGCTGTTTTCCATTAGTTCATAATTACGCCTAGGGAGGAGTACAGGAAAAGACGCGTTAGAGGGTTCTAACGCGTATAAGGAGGGTCTCCATCAGGCCCACTCGACTTGTTGGCGTCCAGGAAGAGGAGTGCTTTGCACACTGAACGCTGTGTAAATCGCACGTCCAGCATGGAGCAATCACACTGCGGGATGATCGGTGGTGTGTATCTCCAGTCATCGAGAGTTGAGTTGGACTCAAAAGATAACCTAAAAGATCGACTTTCTCCTTTGCGCCATGGACTAGTGAGTCGTTCTCCTTGTGCAGAGATGGAACAGGTGACTGACAGAAGTATCCTAGGACAGCCTTGGAAAAACACCTTATTAAAATTAGAGGTAGAGAAGAGAGTTTGACCAGTTTAATACCTTTGAATCACGTTCAGTCAGTAAAGGAAAGACGAATGGTACCAAATAATTCAGTTATATTTTTAGTTACAATCTATTTTTTTTATAGAATAAGGTTGACAAGCGAGCACACAGGTCCACCTGATGGTAAGTGGATGTTGTGGCCCATAGACATCTACATCTATCCTCGATTAAGAATCAAAATGCAGATGCGTTGCCACTCCTTAGGACCAATATGGAATCCCTCACAGTCAGTGAAAAGGGTCTCCGGCTCTCTACACTCACTATACGAAACACAGCAGCATTAAACAGCTATTTAAGCTGGTATTCTGTGAGAGTGTGGTCTTAGCCCGGTCGCCGACCCAATCATGCTACAACCATAATATAGCTGCAGCATGACTCTACCACATAAATCGTACCAAAAATATAGAAAGAGCAACAAGTAAAATGCTTGCCGCACTTGCTCTATTATTTATTGAGGATATTATAACAAATCTCATTCTGTACATAAGTGTTGCAAAGGCAAGCTCAGCGCCCCCTCGAACCATGCGCCTTAGGCTCCATCATGTAGGTAAATTTGGCCCTGATTGCCCAACGATGTTTTTTAACTATAGTGGACCCCCGGTAATCCAGCCCGTCTATTCCAGCACCCCCTGTAATCCGACATTATTTATTATTGATATTTTTAGACAATCTTCGCAAATGCATGATTCGACGCACGATTGATGAATATTTTCATGCTTCTTAAATTGATTGATTGATTCATCATTTTTGATTATTTTAGTATGTACATTTGTTTGTACACAATTATTTCCTAATGTATAGTTATTGCATATTTTTTGTAAGTTCTATAGCATTAATGACGTTAATTTTATAATAAAATGTAAGCTCCCTATTGTGTTGTTTAATTTACTAAATTTGACATACATAACGAAGTATAATTTGTACTTCAGAGTACATAATATATATAACATACAGAATCTTATGATTGGATCTGGAATTTGTCGGATTTCAAGGTACTCTTTTATAAAAAATTCCGGACTATACTTCTTAGGCAGTACTCTATAATCCGACATATTCGATAGTCCAACACTGCCCTGCAAAATGTTTGTCGGATTACCGGGGGTACACTGTAAGTGTATATATATATGTGTACGTTTGACAGTTTCTTTACCGCGGCGCCCACCTAAGCTACATGATTTCGACATTGCTTGTAGCATGATTCTGACGATACTCTGACGTGACCACGGGTGACACTGCTTGCGCCAACCTGTGCAACAATAGCATATCGCAGAATTCAGTTTGAGCCAAAATGTCGTCTGAAGAAGATAAACATGCCCTTGCTATGCTACAGATTTCAAACATTCCAAGTGCCAGCAAAAGATTTCGGCTACATGCTTTGAGGAAAAAAATTGAAAAGTGGTCGTACTTTCAATGCTATGAAGGAATTAGAATTATATTTTGCATAGGCAAGTCACTATAAGTTGCATGAAGTATCTTGCGAATTCTTGTGAATGTAATCGGGTCTAGAACAATCATATTGTATACATGGCCTTTCATGAAAAGAAAAAAAGCTAGGTCGTCTTTCATTTTGTATAGACAAGTCACTGCAAGTTACGTGTTACCCGCCACTTCAATGCGCCACTAGTAGCAAGCTGAATGGCACGTCAGGTCATGCAGCATCATGCCACGCTAATGGGCGCTACTACATACAATCTCTTTGAATGTTGAGGCGAGTAACAAGTTACGCGTCAAATCACGCGTCAGATCACGCGTTACGTTACTTAGGTGGGCGCCGCGCTTTTGAGTCCTGTATGCAACGTAAATGGCTTTGCTGATACTGTAGTGCGAATTGTCGTTGGATTTCTCTCACCTTCAGAGGGTCATAGGCTACTATATTTTTTTATTATTACTATATTACATTTATAATATGATGCTTGCAAAAAAACAATATGGCTGTTGACAGACGGGAACGTCAATGATTTTTTTAAAGCAACTTGTTTCATCATAAAAATATAGTATAGAAACACCTAAGTAGTAAAACCTTTTATCTGAAACGTGTATAAGCACCTCGATAGTCACGCTCTCTGATTATTAAGGCTCGAGGTTGTTAGATTTCCTTAGATAACAACAGCGGAATCCAACCTGTCCCCAAAATATTTTCTTCAGCCAGTCTTCTCATCCCATACACATGACTCTGTTCCGTGGAGAGTTTAAATCCCGCACGGAACAAGTATTTCTTCGTTCTTGTGCAATTTATATCTGCTCATGGTCATGGTGACATGGAAGTATCTTATTATATGGAAGAGGTTTAGTCCTTCAATATAAAGTGTTATAATGTTGTTTTTTTAAATAATTACGAACAGATGTTCTGTTTGTAATTATTAAAAGAAAAAGAGAAACTCTCAGTAAGATATTTTCTTTTCAATTACGACAATTTTGGTATAATAAAGTGTGGAGCGTAAATGTAAATTAAAGGCTGATAATTTTGTGATTTCTTTATTAAATATTTCATTGTTAGAAATTAACTAACGATCGAATTTCATAAATGTTAAAATAATAAAAAAGTTTTAATAATAAAGATTATACCTAAAAAAATACTGCTCTCGGACTATGCAGAAAAATACATGCGTTATTAATTCTGCTGCCCTTATATTGACAAAATGTCAACGAAACTGGTTAAAATAAACAAATTTTGCACTCACATGATCACAACGTAAAATGATTAACATTTCACAAATACAGGAATATAAAAGAATCGATTACAACTAAAAATAATTTCGCAGCCAACCGTTTAGACAGATTAACAAAATATACCTAGACAGGTCCAACTCCTCTCTCTAAAATAAAATGTTCGATTTAGCCAAATTGATTTATAACTAATATAAAAAGTATCTTAGGCTTTGAAAATATTTATGAACAATGGGCAGTAGTAGAATCCGTATTAACCTTGTTTTTATCTGTAAAAAAAATCAATACGGTTATAATTTACGGCGCTATTTGCAGAGCATGAAACTGGACATTGTTCACAAAATATATGCAAATACTTAGTAAAGAGATGTTAATCTTAAAAATATATATATATGTTAAGTCCATTCATAGTTCGTGATATACATTGTATTACGGAGGCACAAATCACAATGGTACAACACAAGATTGATGAATGACCGCTACCCCCTGCGAAAACTTTAAACCAAATCTAAATTGCTATAGTTGCACTAAAATACCCTAACACAGTGCACTAAAAATTCATTGCAGTTTCTATAGTTGTACCATTGCAATCAAAGAGATTTACAAAATAAACACTTAAAATAAATGCAATCATCAACCGGCGATCACTCGTCTAACATTCCATAAATAATTATTCCCTCGTTTTATTGCCAAAACTAAAGACCAAAATGTTCACGAGTCAACATCAATAGCAACCGGGATAGTTTGTGAGTACGTTTATTTTATAAATGATCAAAAGTAGTTAGAAAATGTATGTGTCATAAAAATTTGGACATTTATAATCCTATTTCGTTGTGTAAGCAACTACAGAAAACTTAAGTATCTACATGACCTCCTCCTTCCTCTCTAGAAACAGTACAGCCAGTATATTTCCAATGTGCCACGTCTGTCAAGAGTACGCTGTCTTTACAAAGTCCGAAAAGAGTGAGTGATAAAATGTGATACAGTTTTTTATTTGCCATATAATAAAAACGTGTAGTTTGGAGATTGTCTGGATGACCTAGTTTCTGTTTGAATAACGAATGATGATGAAAGTATGTTTCGCATTATGTCCTACATTTGGCTAACCTTACCAAGAACTAAATTGCTGAGCAGCATAATATTTAGATAAAAAAGCCTACGCCCAAAAAGATGTCGTTTTGAGCGAAGCCATATTATCTTAACCACCGGGAGAAAATGGTAGATAATAGAATGATTACTCAATAATATAAAAGATCAAATAGTTCATCAATGCAGGTAGCATCCGGTATCGATGAGGAACTAAGGCCTAAATAAGTTGTCAATCCTAAGGACTAAAATGAGATGCCTCTAACACTTGATGAATTAATAAATAAGAAACAAAAATACGTACATCGATATAAATATCTAACTACTCGCAAATAATTAGAGTGAAACTGAACAAAACTTTCGTGTACAATTCTGAAAACCTCTGCTTACACGAAATTGCAATTGCATTACAATCGATGTTGACCCGTGAAATGAAAGTCCGAAATGAAATCCACTTAAAATTAACGTCAACACAGAGCCAATAGGGCCTTTGTAAAATATAACTTATGAGTTTACACATTTTAACACTACTATATGTGGGATACAAGATTACGTTATACGGGGATTAACTGATTCTCGTGAAGTCAATAACTTATCTTAGTTTTATTATAAAAATACAGATTCCTTTGTTTTAAATTAACTTTCAATAAGCTTAGCTTGCCATCTGAGACTCACGACAATCCAATGCCTCTTCGGGGCTCTTAAGAGTTGATATAAAATGATTAATTAAATACAGGCCCTTTGTGAAACCGGGGCAAAATTGATTTTATTAGACAAACGGTTTCGAGCAGTCTTCCATTAAATACGTTAAAATATACCAGTTAAACAAAATTACTCTTACATTATACGATGTGACATATCACTAATAGTGAAGCACTAAAATTACTTTAAATTGATCGAATATAAAACTTAAATCTAAATTATTAAAATGAAATTATATTACGTCTCCACTACTCTAGTATTTCAAGGGTTATAATTTTGCATCGATTACATTTTTAGGAACTATACTACTGTACAGATTATAAAGAAAAATATTTTTTTTTCAAAAGGAGGTTTTATAGTAGCGATTTAATACTTTCAAGACATCGATATTATAACGAGAAAAATTACATTCTCCGACTGAATTCAAGCGTGCAATTTGCGATCCAACTATAAGGGGAAACGTAAGGAACTGAACGTTTGTTTCTATTGGAGATGTAAATCGAGTCCAATAAGGGCTGTCTCACAGCCTATTAATTGGCTACATAGCTGTCAGACCTCGTGGGGTTACATTATAATATTGCGTATTACATTACACATACAACTAAGACACATTAACCATTACTTTTACAGGCAAAATCGATTAAAGAAATATATGTCATAATATTACATTCCATACAATAATGTTCTGCTAAAAATAAGTAGCTTATATCGTATCACTTGTTCGTGTGGTGTTGCCGAGTTTACTTTCATAATTTAGAATATAAACGTTTTATCTAAGACACTACATCCTACGATCTAGTATTCACAGAGATTGATACATATTATTAAGACATGGAAAGGCGAAATAGCGTGTGCTTACACTATACAATTTATGATTTTTTTTGTTTTCATTCCAATTTAAAAATGATTGAATTACAATAAACACGTCCGATAGGCGCTAGTTTACAGTGTACCCATAACTCATTATTGTTGTAATAATTTAAATGTTTTCGTGGAATGCGACATATAACCACTTTATTACAAAAATCAAATCCAAACAAATAGACTTGTCATAATCTCAAAATCAAAACGGATAGAAACACTGAAGGCAAGAGTATACAATCCTATACAAACACTGATCTCTTATGTCCATTATAAAGATAATTAGTAAATATGCTACCTCTATGTAGAATATCTCAAAATATTACAATGATATATAAATTTAGTTTATCTGCAATCAAAACGGTCCGCATGAAAACTTGGTTTAATAAAACATTCTATTTATTAGAAAAATATTTTTGATATGCAACTTTTTAATCATCAATCAATGTAAAGCTATAAAGTTTTATTAATTGTTTATTGCATTTAGAATATTAAAAATTAACGCAATAGATGTCAGTCTGAAATATATTAAACACATTTATAAACACTTCGTTTCACGTGAAAATTATAAAATTTATCGTGTAGATACGGACGAACCTCCATCAACCTATTTCTTCCACTGAATGGCAAAAGCCAGAAGAAATCACATGGCATCCCATAGCTGACAGTATACCATATTGTATATGTCTGACATAAAATACCCAGACTTGCGACGAGGATCATCTTCAATGGTGTCGTCAAACAAGAGCAATAATCAAATAAAAGTCTAATATACTACTGTGTATATTCTGATTTCTTCGATACCACAAGTCAACATTTTCTATCTTTGTAAATATATGTTAACGACGAGAGAAGATGCCATATTTTGTTATAACTTTTTTATTTAATTGGCGAAATATTGAAAGATGGTTCAACTTAAGTGTACCTTAAATCAACAAGCATGTATGTGTATAAATATCTGAACGTGGAAGAAGCGAGGGGTGGTTCAGGATTGTACCAAATGGAAGTACCTCCCTGAGTGACGGGCGTGAGAGTTTATATTTCCTTTATTCATTTATAAGTGTCTCCGTTTTAAATCTGGACTTCTTTACTAATGTACTAAAAAGTTCCATGCAGACCGTTTGCGATTCAGTGACTATTTCTTTGTTCGGTTCCTGTTGTGTGATTGAGTATCACTGTTATTCTAACATTAGAAAAATATGGCATCATATTATAATATAATATATATAATATATAGTTATATACCGTAGTACGCACGTAAAAGTACCCTAAAACTAAATATTCTTTTATCATTATGGCTATATTATATCAGATTAATCAATCACTAAAATATCTCCGCGAGAAGTGTCGGTGCTGATGCCATATTTGTTCTGATGAGTAAAGCTTAATTTTACAGTAATTTCTCCGATTCCTCCTCTCATCCGATTTTTTCTCAACCCCAATCTAAATGCAACAGTCGGTTTAACTGCGACATTTTTATCTCGCGTAAACTTCGCTAACATAACCGTGGTAGCATTTGTGTTCCGATTTAAATGTAACCATTACAGTATCTCCGTATTTTCTTGTTTATGGGAAGACTTACAAACACATTTCCTACGCATAACAATCAAGGCAAATACATCCTAATATTAAAGTGAACACGTGTGAGTTATGCGAAAATTAGTGTTAAACTTTTTATTCGCTTATACAATACACACATTACCATTCTTAAACATTCAAAAGAGTTTCGATTTGATTCACCAAAAGAGATAATGCGACACAATATATCGCAATTCTGTTAATGGCAAATTATTGAAACACGCATCTACACATAATATTATCATAAGAGAATCGGGCGCATTTCAGGCTACTTAAGTCTAAGTGCCTTATTAGGCTTTTGATGAATGAACGAACAAATGAATGATTGGAAACTTTGTGTGTGTCACACGCTTAGTTTTCAAAGCAAATGCCATCTCATTAACCTTATGATCTACCCCATATGGACTCTCGCTTCCACTCTGCCGAAACCGATTGCAGGAAGACTAATGATTCTCTTCGTCTTTTAATTACATTCAAATATGAATGAGACAAATACAGTAAATATTTTGCATTCCTATCAAGTACGAACTTCTATATAGTTTCGGAAGAGAAAAATAAACATATTTCACATGCATGCAGCTTTATTTCGCATTTAAAAAATATATATTTATATTTTTATAGAATTATTTAACTTTCGTTTTGTTCAAGTATACTTGAAATATGCGAACATATTTTTGGCAGAAATATAAAATAATTTTCCGAGATTTTTGGATATTTATTGAAGTTCGTACGATTTCCATTCGGTTCTTATTCCGTCGGCGTAAGGATGGGGTAGATCAAAAGTATGGGTACATATTATGTGTTCTCCACCGGTCGTATAGTACAATCGCCCACTGTGGTTATGGGAGTAATTGTGACCGAACTGGGCGTGGATGAGGACACGACATTCGCTTCCGGCTGTACTTGATCCGTCTTGTCCTCTTTCTCCTCGTTGTTTGGGGGCAATTTTACAATCTGGCAGTCACCGACGGTCATAATCTGAGTTTCCATAGCAACAGGCGGCACGTTTTCCTCCGGCTCCACTCGGGAACTGTCTTCATCGTCGGACGAGGAGTCCGACACGTCGATGGTCCTATCGTGAGATGTTTCTGTGGTCATGCTCTGGTCTGCGTCCACGTTGCGGTCTGGATCCACGCTGGTCACGCCATACGAATACGCCAATGGATTGTACATCATTTCTGTCAGATATGAGAAGTCGCCGAAGGGTAGGTTGGTAGCGTTGTAATTCTCGTTAGGCCGTCCGTCTGCAATATTATTTGAGTCATATTAACAATTATTTAAAGCAATGTCATCAAGCTTCAGTACATAAATTTCCCGGTTTAGACTCACTATCTACAATTTAACCTTGGTCTAGAACTGTTTGTTCAATTAATTAAAACAATTACATGCACATATATATAAATATATATTGCTATACACCAGCCTTTATAAATTGTAAACTAAATTTTCGTTTAATAATTATTATAAAGTCAACAAAGATGATTCGGCGGTTATCAATAATAAATCATTACGAAAGTAGTTTTTATTTTTATTTAGAAAAAAGGTTTTTGTTTGTTGTTCACAACGTAATTTTAACAAAACTTTTTTTTAACTATATATAAAAACATACATGTCTTATTCATTATTCAGTAGCTTATCGACTAAATTACTAGTACTTGCGTAAAATCTTGCAATAAAAGCGAGCAAGAAGTAACAAAATAATTTTGACTCGGTTGATAATAATAAATTTGTTAAAGCTAAAGTCAACAAAGCAGGCGTGTTAGTGTGTTAGCAAATTAAAACCCTTATACCTTACATTTGAATTGTTATTTGCTATATAAAAAGTTTTGGAGTTTTGTAACATAATATTACGTCTTCGTTCATTTGTTCATATTGAATTAGACACTGATGAAACAGATAAAAAAAGTTAAATTTAAAACCTATATACTTCCCACACTTGGGCGCGGGCCTGCTCTCATGTCTGAGTTTTTAGGGCAAAGTCCACCGCCCTGCCCCAATGCGAGTCATATTGTATATTTAACATATTATATTTTACATGGTATATTTAATTCAAATTAAAATGTAATAAAAATTAATATAGTTAGTTGTCGCTGTTTATATTATATTATTGATACTGCTAAAATCTACAATTCACAGTGCAATTTCATCATTCTCTTTTTTTTATTAAATAATACATCACAGATAATAACGTATCCTGGAAGATTTTGTTAAATGACATTCTACCTACGAATACCGATTAGTACCGACAGTATATCCCCATTAAATTTCGTTCAAATTTAGTTGTTCATGCTAACGTGTCAAAGATGGGATACTAACAAAACTTGCTCATTTCGGCGGCTAGCCCGTACTGCATCGGTATTGCCATATCCATACCTAAGGACAGACTCGCTAATTAGCGAAGCAAAGAAACGCTTGTTGGCATGACCTACGTTTAAAATTTATTGAATACTATCTAGACAAATAAATAAATAAAAAATATTTTTCTTAAAAAAATAAGCAATGCCATTAATATTACTAATATTCCTGTTAACCACTTTGGGTAAGCTTAAACTGCATGTGTTAGAAATGGTTTGTCAAGTGGAACCCACAACCATTACTCGTGAGTTCGGGGTTCACACCCTGCCATTAGGTTATTGTTGCTTTAAATATTGTATATCCAACAATACTATTCTTGATTATTAATTTTATCACACATATTTATTTATACGTGTTATTTACGATATATATTTCAAACAAATTAAATGCAATTCAAACAATGAATAGGATTATCGTAAATCGATGAACTTTAAATGTTTTCAATTTGAAGATATTTTGGTATTATTGGAAAATCTCTCGGAGTGTGTTTAAGTTTTGATTAAAAAACTTTATGCAATATTCGAAAGTAATTCACGCTATCGGTTCGGAAAGTTTGTACGGGCAAAATTTAATTATAACTACGTGGAATTAACTTTGCACTCGATCCGAGTGAATAAAAACGGTGAAGAGAGTATTCATTTTTAAACAAACTTTTTAATTCAAGCCATGCCAATATGCGTACCGTCGAAACTATTACTCCATATGCTAGATATAACTCATAACTTGTTTAATTTATAAATTTTATAGCAAATAATAATACACACAGAATTCGTTGCACGCATCGAAGACCAATAATAATCCGTTGTTTTTTGAAAAACGTGTTGGCATGTGTAAAGCCCGACCAGGAAAATATACTTTATGTTGCGGATATTGACGAAAGTATTTTCAATAGCAACAGTAATACCAGAATGTCGAAATTTCGTTGTAAATTAGTTTGTTTTGTTTTTTGGTAAAATTAATTAAAATGTCACAGAATAGATAAAATTATCTTAAATTATACATAAAGGACTGTAGCGTGGTATGACAAATCATATTTGATATTATAGTGAGCTTGATAAATACTGGCTGTTATATGAAATATGTAATCTGTAAATAATTTTCCAAATCTCGTTGTTCTGTTAAGAATTTATTTACAAAGGAGGATTTAGTGCTTTTAATCGCAACTAACTCTATAACCAAGTAAAATTTACTTGAACCTCTTTGATCTATGTAGGCACAAAAAGTACTCAAACACAGTAAGCATCAGTTGACCCTTAATATAATAGAAACTAATTATAGTCGCGATAGATCACAGTCATACAGAAACGAAAATCTATGAAGAGTCTATTACTGTTTAGTTGCTAACTTGCAAATTTTTTGATAGCTCTAAAAGGCGTGGCAATTAAGGCAAAGCCTCTATAAAACAGTAAATCCCATGTTCGCTGTGAACTTTTAGGGAGCTAATAAACGTAAATAAAACCTGACCAGATATATGAGACATTATACAAGGGTTATAATATTCAGTATAGTTTTTATAGATTGAACCGGCGGAGCTATTATCTGTAATTATTTTTATATAAAACTACAGTACAGCGCATGGGTGTTTCTTTAATGAGTAATGAGCCAATATATTCTGTACTGTTTCTTCGATTCGTATTATTTATTCATATAAATAAAATATATATAACTTATTTTTTATATATTTACGTAATATAAGACGATTAGGTAATAAGTTAAAGCTAGGATAAGTATTACATAGGACAACACAAACATAAATTTTATGTTTCAGAACCCATTCCTGCCGTTTTCAAATTATAATTTGTGACCATTACTGTAAAGCCTTCCCCTGTTATGACATCAAAACAAAATTGTCACTTCAAATGTAGAACTAGGTTAAATTAAATATTATTTTCCATCTAATTTTTAATAGAGTAAAAATTTGGAAGACTGAAACAACTGAGTTCATGTATATATTTATATTTATGTGCATAGGCTTATATATGTTATAAGGTTTGCAATTACGAACGTATGTACCTATCGAAGTCTATTTTAAAGTAATACGAGGTACAATAAGATTCAAAATATTATAACTATACCACCATCATAAATCAAGTACAAAAAGTTAGACCGTCCCTCTTTCACAATTTGCGTATGCATGTGATATTCCTAAAACAAATATAACAATTATTATGTATGACAGCACAGCGGCCAAATCGTATCAATCTCACTATAACGATATATAATTTACTTACCTGTTAATTCAGATGCTATTTTATAGTCATTTATTAAAATACTATCGAGTACTTCACTTTTTCTTGCAAACACTTATCATATCCATTGTTCAGAATATTTTTATATATTATAATACGAATAGTTATCAATCTTTTCTTATAAATGAAACGTTTACGGCGATGACACATACGTGATACAGGTAACTTTAAAAATTATTAGCTCCAACGAAATTTCGAAATATGGCCGCACCTCATACAATCCTGGTCAGGCTTTACAATAGATAAAGTATTTATAAAGCAAATGTTAGAAAATCTATTATTTAAAACGACGATTGTTCATTTTTATTAATTATTTATATACTTTAATGTTAATTATTTGCAATTTCGAGTACAAAAAGATATAGAGAATAGATTCGACTAAGAAATATAGGACAAGAAGCAATCGCTATAAGGCACTTTGCAGCTCACACACAGACACACACGCACGCTCACACTGAAACATTAAATAAGAACATAACGGTATTCAAAACGTATGACGTTTGACAATGGCATTAATCATTATACATCTTGAGTCATTGCCTTTATCATTGCAACATTTATTATTGTTACTGCTTCAAAATGTAATAGGCATATTTCAAAAACTATACGAAGTAATATAAGATTTATATACCGTGATATTAGGTTTGATTTTTGTTTCACAAGTTGTATTTTTATGTAATTCGCTTGATGAACCGTGTTTAATTTGAATTATGCGTAGAGATCATAAAAAGGAAAATATATTTTTAAATAAATTGTGAAATTCTTGCAGCAATAATGTAGTATAAGAAGATTACTTTCAATAGATACTTATATATTAGTATTGTTCTCAAGTCACAGTTAAGCTAAATGGAATATTTATGAAGTTTAAGGTCTCATAAGGTGATAACTAACAACATTCGTTATTTTAAGGTTATTTATTTAAAAAAAATCTAATGTGAAAATGTTGACAATCACGTAAAACACACACCAATTTGGTTATTTGAATGTTTATCGCTCTGGCTGACTATTATATCTAATTACAAGGTTTTAACTAACTTTTAGTTCGATTTAAGTTAGAAACTATAAACACTAAAAACCTATTCCATATATATATAAATACCACATAACCATAAATGTCGTTAAGAGCGTACGAAAAAACAGGTAAAGTATCATAAAATAACTTATTATAGGCATACCTCCTTGTGACATGAAATAATTCTTTGGCGGTCTTCCACGTTTCCTTTTAAGTAGCAGCTGTTGGCCCGACGGAGTGAGGTGAGACATGTGCTGGGGACTCGGACCCATCACAGTTCCGCTTGTGAGCACGCAGCCTTCCATGTCTGAGGAAGTTGGATCAGTTACGTAAGCAGCGCCGGTGTAGAAAAATTCGTCGTTTACAATATCATCTATGAGTAGATCTACAACCTTAGGAGTCACATATTTCAGTGAATACCACCCCATACAGACAATTACTTCAATATGACCGATTTGAGACCGATTTACACTTCGACAAGTACAGTAGCGAGTTAACTTGCGAACCTGGCGAGTTAGAAGGTTAGGTAAAAATCTCGTTTGAACGGCAGTCAAGTGAGTTAAGTAGCAAATTAACAATTAAGTTTATTAAGACTGTGTGCTCGCTTATCACACTTATCACATATAAAAAAAGAAGACATTTTAATGATACTGCCCACTACTGTCAACTGCCCTGTAACTAAATTCGCTACTGTACTTGTCGAAGTGTAAATCTCCGTGGCGAGTTTAGTTAAAAAAGTACAATTTTATATTTTGAGGGTCTGAACTAAACTCATTCGACAAGCGGGAGGACAACACTTCGAACTTAACTCGTTGAAAAATAGACAGCCCGGATATCCCGTTCAACTTAATTGTTAATTTGTTACTTAACTCACCAATTGTCGTTCAAACGAGATTTTTACTTAACTCGCCAGGTTCGCAAGTTAACTCGCTACTGTACTTGTCGAAGTGTAAATCGGTCTTAAGTGCTCTGTTAGCGAGCAAACTGGGTTTGAACGCCGGCGGCACCAATGAATTTATTCTTATACTCTCGGAAAGTGTGTAATACTTTTTCGACCGTGAGTTAGATTTCGGCATTTATTTTATAACTTTAAGAAAATCAAAATCGATGCAACATCGCTGGCAAGCGTCATGCCGATGGATCTGAATAAAAGCCCTTTCTATTTTATGGCGGTTGACTCGCCAGAGCCTTCCTGGAAATAGTCAAACTAAATAAGTACAGTGCATTAGTACGGAGGACGGAATTTTATTTAATTACTTTATTATTATTTCATTGGTATAAAACTTTTTTTATTTGCTCCATAGTAATTGCAAGTATTCTGTGACTGGTATTTCTGGATATTTTATCTCTGGCGACATTAAATCGCCTCTATTGGACAAAATATTATCTGGGAATTTTTAATATGTCCAGATTGGACAACTACTGAAACAATGATATATTATATTTATTAGATATATGATTGTACCGATATTTGTGCCTTGATTATAGGGGTTTCAATCACATTCTTATTCAAATACAATGTTGTAACCATCTAGGGCTTCATTACTACTTAGGTTAGATTGTGGTGAAGCATTGGCTTATATATAATAAGTAAAAAAAATATAACAATCAACAAATATAAACTAGCGTAACAGTTTTAGAGTTCACCATTTGCCAGCGAATTGGTATAATTGAACACAATGAAAGAAATTTTTCAATGGTAAAAAAATATTTACTTCGTAAATAATGCAATCTCGATTTAAGGCGTCGCATCAATATTAGAATTTTTTGAACATCTTTTTGGTTAAGGCTTTGTAGCCAACACCACAATAAATGAAAAAAAAAACAACGGTGAAGTACGTATAATAGAGTGCAGTTTGGGAGGGAACTTGTCTGCCGGGGGAATTTTGCTCATTTTTTATAGTTTCAAAATGGTTTGAAGTGAATTTTGATACGTAAATGTGATGCGATTTATTTTCTACCGACTTCAAAAAAGAGACGGTATTCATAGATTCGACTATCTTTTCTTTTCTTCTTTTTTCTATGTGTGTTACCTCATTACTTTTTTCTGGGTGAACCGATATCGATGATTCTTTTTTTATTTGCAAGCTGATGCTTCACATGTGGTCCCATATAAATTTGATCAAGGTCTGACCAATATTTTTTCAGTTATACTTAATAATTTATATTGAAGTCGGTTATACAATTTTTTTTATTTTAAATTGTTCAATTGTATTTTCTATGTATTATACGACTTTTGTATTATACGACTTAGGGACCTTCAAGAAAAGAGCCTACTCCTTTTTAAAAGGCCGGCAACGCATCTGCAATTCCCCTGGTGTTGCGGTTGTTCATGGGCGGCGGTAGTCACTTACCATCAGGTGAGCCGCATGCTCGTTTGCCCCCTCTCCTATAAAAAAAAAAAAATGTAGATGAACTATATTATAACGACGACACTAGTGCTTCAATGTTGATATAAGTCCTAAGTTATGTGGTCCGTTTAGGCACCTTAAGTGATATTGTTGTTATTGAATATTTTTAAGCTGTCGTCAAAATTTTACAAGAATTTCTCAATGTGACGTGACGTATTGGCATATTGTGATGATTTTGAAAAAAATATTTTAAAGGATAATTTCTTATTACTTGAATGATGATGATGGAATAATGAATAATAAAATAAGAATGGACGGTTACTGTTACATAGCCCTACGGATTAGTAAGCTGAAGTGGCAATGGGCCGGCCATATAGTAAAAAAACCGACTACTGATTGGGAAGAAAGATTGTCACTTGGAAGCTTCGTACTGGTAGGCAAAGTGTAGAGTGGATCCCTACTAGATGGCGACCTGGTAAGACATGCAGGAAGTTGATAGGTGCAGGTGCTCTGTGGTATTCCTTGGGGGAGGCCTATGCTTAGCAGTGGACTTATGAAGGGTTGTAATAAATGATGAATGACACTGGCAAAAGTACAACCGGACGAGCCCATAACAAAATTTAAAAAAAAACTGAATAGGTTGTGCAATTTTACTTGCGACTCACCAAGCGACGTCTTTGGCGGGCGACCGCGGCGCTTCTTGATTTTAGGCGTGAGCGGCAGAGGCGTTTTGCGCGGGCGGCCGCGACCCCTGCGCGGCGGCTCCAGGTCGTCGCGGGCGAGCGCGGGGTGCGCGGGGAGCGCGGGGATGGCGACGGGCGCGCCGTGCGCGGCGGGCGCGGGCGCGGCGGGCGCGTGCGACACGCCGGGCGGCAGCATGACGTCGCCGCTGGCCGTGAACACCAGGTGCCCGGACTCGCGGTGCGTCGTGCGCACCATGCCCGACATCACCTCCGAGCTGTTCTCGCGCTTGATCGTGCTCTGCTCGTTCGTCATGTCCACGGTCGGGTCCTCCTGCGTTGAGGAGTGCATCGTTACCGTTAAGGCAAGCTTATCCTACCATCTCCTTTGCATATATTTGTTACGAACAAAAAGTAACTTTATTTGTAACGTTTTTGCTTATTATCAGGAATCTTTCAATAACATCAACAAAATGTTATATGATTATCGCTTAAAAAAAATTATTAAAATGTACATGTACATGTACATACCCGTTCGCAGATCTTGGTGTGCACTCTGAGTTTATCAGAACGCGCAAAGGAACGCCCACAGCCGCCGCAAGTGAAGGGCCGCTCGCCCGTGTGCGTCAGCCGGTGACGGGATAGATGCGAAGAACGCTGGAACCTAACCACAGGCATACTTAAGCTTTATCAAATTAAGTAAGTAGTTAAAAGTTCACAACTCAGACCAATGAGTTTCAAGTCATCCCACGGAAATTTGCTGTTAAATACGCGTGTTTTCTGAGTAAGATTTTTTCTTCTTTAGCCCGTAATGGACTCCTTGGACCTGCCTCATTTTAAGGAGATTTTACCGTAGTCACCACATTTGACAGGCGGATTTGCTATCCGCAGCACCAGGCGTCTCGCAACTCAAACTTTGCTTTATACCAACCCGTCTGATTTGTATCACAGGATCTTCTGGACCTTCTGGATAATTTCTCTAATAAAGCCATCATACGACAGACTAGCAATGCTATTTTCTTCCAGCATGTCATCGTCATCATTCGAACAGGAACCGTTGAATAAAAAATAAACATTTTTTTTGCTTTTAATAGGATCATCATAATTATCAATACAGTTTTTCAAAAATTCACTGCTGAGCATAGGCCCCAAGGAATACCACAAAGCACGGTCCTGAGCCACCAGCTTCTATCGACTTCCTGCATGTCTTACCAGGTCGTTACGTCGTCGTCGTCCAGAATGTAGATCCCAGTAAATAAGTTCTAATTTTAATAGATTTTCGCGAATTCCTGATGATGCCCGATCCTTTTAATCGGGTATTTGACACTTGTCCACAGAAAACACTATTACTCTACCCACAATAGCTCTGAGTAAAAAGTAAATGACAACAATTTAAATACACTTTTTAAGATT